TGGCCACAGGCTGCCCAGGGCAGTGGCTGAGTCCCCATCCCTGGGGGGGTTTAAAAGGCGGGGAGATGTGGTGCTTAGGGACATGGGTTAGCGGTGGCCTTGGCAGCGCTGGGTTAACGGTTGGACTCTATGGTCTTAAAGGTCTTTTCCAACCTAAATGATTCTATGGTCAAGCCCCCATTGTGTGTGGCCAGATGGGGTGGTTATGCAGGCCGGATTCATACTAATTGTCTGTCTGTCTGTCTGTCTGTCTTGCAGAATAATGATTTTCTCAGGAATACGGTGCATCGCCACGAGCCACCGGTCACTGCCCAGCCTATCCAGATCTTGGTGGAGGACGATGAGGTGGTGGTTGTGGACAAACCCTCCTCTTTGCCAGTACATCCCTGCGGCAGGTTTCGTCACAACACAGTCATCTTCATCCTAGGCAAAGAGCATGATCTGAAGGAGCTGCACACCATTCACCGACTTGATCGCATGACCTCGGGAGTACTTATGTTTGCCAAGACCGCAGAGGTGTCCAAGAGGATTGACGAGCAGGTTCGGGAGAGGCAGGTGAGAGCTAAGGGCTGCAGTAGTTTTTGGAGTCTCTTGCATGGTATTTTCTTGAAACAGGTCCAAAGTCAGCCAAATTTTTGGTGTAAACAAGTCCAAGTTCGTGAAACAGGTTGTGGTCACCTTACTGTTCTTATTGTATTAAGCACGAGAAGCATCAAGGGAAAAAGACTGACTAAAAATTTAATTGATTTTGGTAATATTAGATTGAAAGGGATCTCCTTCCCTAAAGGACTGCGCAAACTGATTGGGATTGTGCAAAACAGTTAGAGAGCAGTTGTGTTTGTAAGTGGAAATGTGTCAGGCATCTAATACTTTTTCAATTTTAAAAGTTTTGGAGGTTTTTCTCATTTTTCCAGTGGCTCTTGACCCAAACAGAACTGTAGCTGTAGGGTACTAGCTTCCAGGGTTTGCTTCAAGGCCGTAAACTGAAGGTCACTGAGAGATGGCTCTTGAATTTAATAGGAGTTTCGAATTAAATGTGTTCTTGATTCCCGACTAGTTGGGGGAAGCGTAAGAGAAATTTGGCTTTAAATAGCTGGTTTTAATTTTTTTCCCTTTCCTGTTCAGTTGTAATAAAATTGTGGCAGTATATTGCTGACAAATGTATTTCATTGAAGAGAAAGAGAGGAGTAGCTAGGCTGGGGCTCGGGTGTCATCAGGACAGAGACAGTTTTCTGTTCTGTTTTCTGAGGGTTACTCTTGTGTCTCCCCGTAGCTGGAAAAGGAGTATGTCTGTCGTGTGGTGGGGGAGTTTCCAGAACACGAGGTGGTCTGTGAAGAGCCCATACTGGTTGTTTCTTACAAAGTGGGAGTGTGCCGCGTGGACCCCAAAGGGAAGTTCTGCAAAACCATCTTCCAGAGACTCAGTTACAACGGGAAGACCAGCGTAGTCAAGTGTCTGCCCCGTACTGGCCGCATGCACCAGATCCGGGTCCATTTGCAGTATTTGGGGCATCCTATCGTCAACGACCCCATCTATAATATGGAAGCCTGGGGCCCCGACAGGGGGAAAGGTGGCAAGATCGATAAAACGGATGAAGAACTCCTTAAAGCTCTAGTAAAGGAGCATTGTTCCAAACAGAGCCTGGATATCTTGGGTATTTCGGAGGAGGACTTGAACTCCAGTGCTGAAAATAAAGACTGTGGTAATTCAAGTGACCGCACGCAGTCTGTGCCGGCTGATCCTATAAATGAGAACTCTTGCCCTGCCGAGGACACTAAGGATCCCGAGAGAACTGACATAGCAGCTTGTCCACTGACCTCTGATAGCAACCTGGAAACGCTTGAAAAAACGAAAGAACTGGGTTCATGTGAGAATCAGGATGGGCAAACGGGAGAAAAGAGTTCAGAAGAGAAGGACCCTTTATGCGTGGAGTGTAAAATTACAAGGCAGGACCCATCTCCCAAGGAGCTGGTGATGTACCTGCACGCCTTGCGCTATAAGGGAGCGGAGTTTGAGTATTGCTCCAAGATGCCCGAGTGGGCAATGGAAGACTGGGAGGAATGACCGAGGACATCTGGCAGACATTGCTGGCCAGGACAGCGTCTTGTAAAGACCTAAGATTTACTTTTTCAGTGGGGTTGAGGTGAACAAACTGCCTGTGACTTGAGATGGGGCAGGAAGGATTCCTGGCTGCCAACAGGCACTGCGAAAGATGAGCAGAAAGACAAGACGGGGCTACAACACTAGATTTATGTTGCCCTTTGGTGAACTAGCACTGCAGGGCAGCAACCATCACTCGGCACGGGCCGCTTTGCCTTTCACCTCGGCCTGTTCTGGGTCTGCTGTCGGTTATCCACACAGATAATTAAGTGCATGCACTTAAAATTGTCAGCAGCTGATTTTTCTTCTGGCCTGCTATGTTCTTGTATCTTACAGTAAGAGCTGCTGGAATGTTGCTGAATATGCTGGATGTCATGTCACACACAAAACTATTTTTACTGTATTTTATTGTCAGACTGATTTTTAAACCCCAAACGTTATCACCGAGAATGCCGTAAGGTAAAATCGGAGCACCGTGAAGCCGATCCATTTTGTGCTTACTGTTTGTCAGCAAGGTAGACTTTGCTTTGAAATTGCTCTTTTGGAATTGGTTCAAATAATGACTTATTTTGAAGTCAGTAACTCTAGCGATGGATCTCTTTATACTGGGCTTATTTTTGGAGGTACTACTCCCCAGATTTTGTCTTTGAGATTTATAAGGAGAGCGACTTAGTAGATTTTGCCCTTCTATTTTGCTGCCTCCCCTGTGATGTATCTCCTGCCTTCTCTTCTGAGAAGCTATCGCGCTCTATCCCTTACGCCTCGTTGAAAATGTCCTCATACTTGAGCAGAAATCCAAAGCAGAGGTCAGCCTGCCAACTTCGATTTTTTTAAAAATTTTTTTTTAAACCTTACTATAGGTGGGTGGTTTCTGATTGGCGTGGAATTGTTTTTAATATCAGTTCAGTGTGACAATCAGCTTTAAAGAAAAACAAAAGCTGTGTTTATGAACCAGATGACTTTTTTTTAATACGTTTTATATGTTTCCAGGATGATAAATATCACTATAGTTCTTATTTCCATCAGTGTTTATATGGTCACCTCTGGGTTATTATAATAATTCTGCTGTCTCAGGTTCCTTTTTATCCTTTTTTTTCCCCCCTCTTTTCCATATGTGTCACCAGTGGTCGTGACTGCTGCAGACAATCAAAACCTTTACCTGGGAGGAGCCGTGTTTTCAGGACTGTTTGCAGACAGTGGTCTCTAGCCCTGTCGCTCCATGTCCCTGTTTCTCCACACCCATTCCTACACAGGGCGCGTGCATAGGTTTCTACACTTCTAAAATATTAAAGAAGCCTTTTTTAAAGGTGAAGAAAGGAATCCAGAGGAGCTGATACTATTCAGCAAGTGTGGCAAGAGCCTGGCTGGAGCGCAGTCTGGTCTCAGGTGGTCTCTCCTTGTCGTGCTGTGCCCTAGGGAGCTCTGGCTGCTTCTCAGCCCCCCCCCGGCGTGGTTTTCGTGCAGATCTGTTATTACTGGTTTGCCCATTTCACACAGGTTACTGGAGAACTCCCTGCTTCACAGGTGTCCGTGAGTGGGATGCTGGGGAGCTAAGGTTGGCCAGGCCCAACGGAATGCCGGCCTTCCTCCTCAGCAAGGCTCCGAGGATCGCTTGTTGGTGTTACCAGGATCAGGGCTTGTGTACCAAAGCAGAATAAACCAGCTTACTTCTTCCAGTAGCTCAAAGTAGCCAAGTGATTTCTTTCTCTCCTGGATCATCCATCTGATGTGTTGAACGTTGCCGTACGTGCTCGCTTAGGCTTGAGCTTTGCTCCTCCACATCCTGCCAAGGGTCCCTCATGATTCGAATTTAACCACAGATTTGATTCTTTTCCCCCCGCCCCCCCCCCATCACGTATTAAAGCCAGGTCTAGTGCTTAGCTCCAGGCAGCTTGTTAAACAAAAGGGGTAAAAGGTCCCCTGTGTTGCAGAGGTGATGCTAAAAACTAGTCTCATCCAGGTTTTCATACACTGAAATACATATTTCAGGTAACTGTAAATAAAACTTGGGCACCTTCAGGGTATAAATAAGGGTGTCTGCAGCTGTTACTAGCTTTAGACACAAGGGAAAGGTAATAGATTTAGGGAAAAGTTTTAAATTAGACTTTGAGGTGTCCCAAGTTCTGTTGTCTGGGTTCGTTACCCCCCTCTCTGTAAGAAATAAGCATCTGAAAAGGATTTTGCTGACTCGTGCCAGTAGATGGAGACTGGATGGCTGAAGGGCCTGGTGAGGAGCTGCGCCTCAGTGCTGCGTTTTTACTTTTTCTGGCTATGCATAATGACCGCAGTTAGCATCGGTTATCACACCTTGCTGGGCAAGAAACCCCGGGGCTTCTGTTTCCAGGACACTTGAACAATGAAAATTTAAGGTTGGTTTCACAACCTACCACCAATCGCATCGTATTTCGTTTTATTTCGGTTCAGAGCCGGTGTCCAGCCGGTACGTGCTGTAAGCGCGCACAAGAAGTCAGCATTTGCTGTTTTGCTAATAGGGCACGTGTCACTGTTGGAGATGTCTTGCGATGAATTCCCACCTACGCCTAGGTCTGGGGTAACTGCTGTGCCCTGGTTGCAGGGTGATGGTGGGCAGAGAGTTATCTGCACGAAATGTAGGTCCTGGAAAAAGTCCTTTCTCCAACACAGTTTTATTTTGATATATCGTTTTATGCTAGAGCAAAGGACGGGGAGAAGGTGCATCTCGCCAGCAGCTATAACCCTGACCTACACGGATAAACCCCTCTGGCAAACGCTGGTGGCACCTTGCTGCGGTCCTGTGGGACGCACCCAGGGTTAACCCCTAAACGTCACCAAGGTGCCCACCTCCCACACCATCGCGCTTGTCCGACCGGTCCCTCCCGGGCACCGTTTGCGAGGCTGCGGAGCCGTGATCTGGCCGTTCTCTGGATTTTGTATAATCCCCACAAGGATTTAGGTGTAGTTAAACCTGCGAATGAGGCGATGGAGGCCCCTTCCCGCGCCGCTCCGGCAGCCCTGCGGTTCATCGCTCCTGCCTCCGTGCTTTTTATAAGTTACCTATTGGCGGAGTAGGCGGGGAGGAGAAGCTTGCCTGTATCCCTTCAATACAATCGTTTACGCTTTTTAACTCATCGTAGCTTCGCGAAAAGCGAGGCCAAGCGCAATAATGACTCTCTAAAGCAGACCTCGAGGTTATTTTCAGCGAGGCGCCGGGATCGGTTTGGCTGGAGCTCCCCCAGCCCCTGCTCTCGCAAATACTGACCCAGCGCTCCCGCTGGGGGCCGGCCCGGCCCGGCCGCATCCCTTGGGATCGCGAGGGGGATTCCTAAGCGGTTTGCTGTCAGCGGCGCCGGGGCTGGCGGCTCCCAAGCCCGGCTCCTTTCGGAGGAGCGGAAAAAAAGAAATGAGGGGAGAAAAGTTTCACTTTCTCGACGAGGATGGGATTCGAACCCACGCGTGCAGAGCACAATGGATTAGCAGTCCATCGCCTTAACCACTCGGCCACCTCGTCACGACAGCTAGCTCCCTCGCCCAGCCTATAAGAAAGTCCCCCGACCGCTCCGCGCATC